AAGACAATGTCATAAAAAACAAAAACGTAGTATTGCAGTAGTAGTAGTAGTAGTAGTATTTATCTCTTGATTGATCTCTGAGTCTTTTGATTATCAGGAGGCATTTTTTTTACTCGCAGGTCCAACATTTATGGCATCCCATTCCCCCTCCCCCTCTAACAGTTTTCTCTTGCCTTAACTGACAAACTGTCATGTTGCTTAGTATTGCTTCTGACCTGAAGAAGAGAGGTTAACTCTTGAAAGCTTTTTTTAAATATATTTTGTTATTACAGAGACTGATGTGACTGTGGGGGGGGGGACATTAGAGTGTAAGCTCCTCTGTACAGAGACTGATGTGACTGGATCAGTGTTCTCTGTACAGCACTGCGGTATATGTCGGAGCTATATACATGCGTAAAGTATAAACAAATAGAGAAACACTGGGGGAATCATCATTATCAGACGTTGTATTTTCTCACCTTGATGGAGTCGTCCCATCCGCCTGTCAGGAAGACGTGATACTCAGAAGGGTGGAACCTCAGGGCGAAGATTTTGCGTGTATGGCCGCTGGTCAGGCTCAGGTCACAGTCGTTCTGGAAATCCGGAGCCATTAAGATGTTCTGAATCTGGAAGAAGGAACACTAAATCTCAGCAAGTAATTAAAGAGAACCTGTCACATGGCATGTTCAGTAAGCTGGATCATGCATGAGTAGCAGTCACAGGTTGGCGTATCCTCCTCCAGAGCAGGCCCTCTGGCGGCGGGGCCATGACACAACATCCATCATGGAAGGTAAGAAGGAAAGGAATAGAAATAGCATCTCCTGTGTTGTGGAGAAATGTTCACATTTTAGACACGCTGCAAGAATTGTAGCAAATATCAGTTTCTTACCTGTTCCTGTTCTGTAGCTACGATAACAAGCCACCAAACTAAGGGCCCATTGACACGTTTCCTTTTCCAACAGGATATCATTGGGTCTCCCTGCTGTACAACTCCTGAGATAAACTTATTTTCAGGATATGCCACCTGGAGTTTGGACTGTGTTCAATGACTTGTCATGTGTCTCAGCTGACTCAAAGTTCACACATACTCAGTGGCGTCACAAGGGGGGTGCGGCCCGCACCCGGGTGACCCCATTGGAGGGGTGACATCAAAATGACTGACAGTCATTTTGTTACTACCCCCTCTAAAAAGTCAGGCACTCTGTCATGGACCGAGAGCCCGACTTTGTGAGGAGAGAGGAGGGGACCCGGCGACATACGTCATCCCGCCAGGTGAAGGTCCCGTCCTCTCCCTGCCGGCGCCCATCACCAAGATGGCCGCCAGCAGGCATCAATTAGATGACCGCGCATGCGCGATGATGTCACGGCGGGGTGTCACCTGGTCTCCGCTCCAGGTGACACCCGGCCTCGGGACGCCGCTGCACATACTGCACAGATGTTACGTTATATGAACAGATGTTTGTAGCCACCTTACCATTCACCTATAAGAGCTTGTTGAACATCCCATTCCAAACCATGGCCATTAGAATGGAGTTGCCTCCTTTGTAGCTATAACATCCTCCACTCTTCTAGGAAGGCTTTCCAAAAGATTTAGGAGGTGTCTGTGGGAATTTGTCCCATTTGTGAGGTCAGGTACTGATGTTGGATGAGAAGACCTGACACGGCATAGCTATTCATCCCAAAGGTGTTCATTTGGGTCGAGGCCAAGGCTCTGTGTAGGACATTTCACATGTACGCGTTCACGCTGTGTATGGAGCTGGCTTTGTACACGGGACAGTCATGGAGGAACAGAAAAAGGTCTTCACCAAACTGTTACCACAAGGCTGGAAGAGCACAATTGTCTACAATGTCTATATGATCAGTGGCGTCACTAGGGGGGTGCGGACCGCACCCTGGGGGACACCATTGGAGGGGGTGACACCAAAATGACTGACAGTCATTTTGTTATCACCCCCTCTGAAAAGTTGGGCACTCGGTCAAGGACCGAGAGCCTGACAGTTGTACGAGAGAGGTGGGAACCCGGCGACATACCTTATCCCACCGGGTGAACATCCCTTCCTCTCTCTGCTGGCGTCCATCACCAAGTTGGCCACCGGCAGGCAAAAGGGCGTGACGTCATCACACGCATGCCGATAACATCACGGCGGGGTGTCACCCGGTATCCGCTCCGAGTGACACCCTGCCTCGGAACACCCCTGTTTATGATGTAGAATTAACAGGACCTTCACCGAAAACACCTGAACTCAAATATTAGGAGGGATGTCCGCAGACTTTTGGTCATATAGTGCCGTATCCTCTCCTTGGTACTCACTTAATTGCCATCCACCTATAGGATCAGCAGAGCCACCATCCCTAACATTCTCTACATCTCTACATGGCTAGCACAGTTCTCCTCCCATCACATACCCCAAAAATAGGATAATTCCTCATTTGAGGACAGTGGGTGGGGCCATTGCTTTATGTCCTGTTGGCCAGATGCACATGCAGAACGTTGGTGTATAGTGTAGATAAAGCCTGTGGCAGTGCAGGGTAATGCTTCAGTGTAGTATTGTTACTTTGGCACCCAGGACTCTCAGCCACAGAGGGTCCAGAATGTGAACCATTTTATAAGGAAGAACCTGGCCTTTCAGGTTCTTCCAGGTTTTCCTAATTGTAATTGGGATCTGGAGATTTCTTAAGGTGCCCATACACTGCTCGATTCTCGTACGAGTATCGCGGGAAATCCCGCCATCGTACGAGAATCGAGCAGTGTGAACGGAGACGTGCGACCGTTTCTACTGTACGGTCGCACGTCTTCCGTCGAACCAGCATGTTCGAAAACCAGCCGGGAATCGTACGATTCTCGGCTGGTTAGAACGGTGCTCGGGAGACAAATGCCGAACGGGCCGGTGTGCGCACGCGCACACTGCCCGTTCAGCATTGCAGTCATCGGAAGCCGCCCCTCAGGGGGGCGGGCTTGCGATGATCGAGAGTGCGATCTGCCTGTCCAACTGTCCAAGATAGGCAGATCGTACGTTTTTTTAATCCCTGTACAACCATCGCAAGACTAAGGTCTTGCGATGGTTGTAGAGTGTATGGCCACCTTTAGAGCTCTGGGTGGGATGAGATCTCCAGTCCTTGGGCCAGGTGTTGCCAATGACCAGCTTGGGCTGATAAGGTGGCTGAGAGCAGCTTCATTAAGAAGCCAGCCCAGAGCTCAGGGGAGAGTTGGTGTGCAGGAGGCACACGGCCACAAGCAGACTCATGTGCATGCTTGACGCTTGTGGAACAGCCAGGGGAGGTTGTGGAAGGTTGGTGACCCAAGGGACCTGGTGGACACACTGTTGAGAGAGCAGTGTTTGTGCTCACGAGGGGTGAGCAGTGTGAGTATCACACAGAAGTGTGCTGAGAACTGTTCTGTTTAATTTATGTTGAAGAGGAATAAAGACTGTCCTGTTTATGTTCAAGTCGGCTTCAAGACTGGTCCTTAAGCGCTCACCATTGGGCTATGTTCCCCAAACACCACAAGCCTAATATTACAGATCTATTTCATCCAAACTGCATACAGCTGTTCACTGGCGGAACTACCAGGGTCGCAGCGGTCGCAATTGCGACCGGGCCCTGGCATTCCGCCACTTGGGGGGCCCAGTGAGGAAGAGGGGGGCCCCCGAGATCGTATCCTGCAAGGCCGCCATCAGGGATTCATGCTTCCTTCCTCCTCTGAGCATCGGTCTGTGTGTGTTTCTCACTCTTTCCCCCCCTCCTCCTCTCAGAGAAGAGGGAGGGGGGAGTGAGAGAGACCGAGGGACGCTGGGGGGGTTAAGAATGAGAAGCCCAGACCCTGCACACTGTGCTGCAATTTCTTTAAATGAGAGAAATGGATTATATTAGGTTCGCTGGGGTCAGGGGCACACATGGGTAGTATCATGGGAGTCCTCTGTGCTAAGGATTCAGCCCTAGGATTTCAGCTGTGCCAGAGCTCCACTATCCTGCGACCATCCGTTTATGTTAACTGCCCATTATATATACATAATATACATATTACATTACACTGTAATGTTCCCTAAAATAATCTATTTCTCTACCACAGCTTTGGATAACATTTTGCATTCACTTTGTATCGCCTGACGCCCGATTATAATGTATTGCTGGGACTTGTAGTCCCGCATAGCCGGTGGTATTCTTCATTGCTGTATGGTGATTTATACAGCAATGCAGAATAGCTCCAACTATGTAGGACTACAAGTCCCAGCAATGCATTATATTTTTAAGTAGGGATACACCACTGCCATTACTGGGCATTTTCACAAGTACTCACACTAATGCCCCGATACTAAACGCAGATACCGGATGTTCTGTCGAGAACGCTGATGTAGTCGAATTTGCTGACCTCAGCACCTGCGCTTGCGCACAGACCGGTATTATCGAGGGAACCGGGATTTATTCACAAAGTATTTTGTTTAAATCGTTAATTGTGACCGTCGATAATATGCTGCCCATCATTTACTGCCATGGACGGCATATTATTACCGGTCACAATTAACAATTACAAACGAATACTTTGTAAATAAATGCCGGTTTCCTTGGTAATCCCGTCTGTACGTAAGCGCGGATACTGGGTCGGCGTTCTCGACAGAACACTGCACTAGCATTTTAAACAAGCAGCTGCCCGAGGTCCCGCGCTTGCTGGGGACCTCAGCAGCCTTCCTGTTAACCATGCGGTGCCATGCCGATGGGGGGGCCCTTCATGGTTTCTTGCACCGGGGCCCTGAAGGTTCTAGTTACGCCTCTGCAGCTGTTTCAGGCTGTACCTACCACAATGAGGACCCTGCTCCTTTCTAAAAGCTCCGCCAGGTCCTGTTACAGTACTATATAGAGGGTACATAGGCAAAGAGTTTCCAGCTCTGAACAAAGCAGACTGTACTGGACTCCAGAGGACAACAAGGTGTGTGTGATATCTCTAGCAGGTAGAGTTGGTCAACCTGATCCACATGTCTCAGCTTCCCTCTCCTCCAAAATGATACGATGCTATGGCACTGGCACCAGGAGTTGCCGCTCTGATATTCCACGCTTGAGCCTTTCATATATAGGACATTTTCATAACAGTAAAGTAGGGCTTTACCTTTCATACATAAGACCATTATTCATGCATGTGTGGCAAATGACAGCCTGTTACCTCATTGGTGTGACTGTCATACAGACGGATGTGGCGATCTTTCCCAGCCGTGCCAAAAACGCTGCCGTCCATGCTGTAATCCAGGGCGTGGATCTCATTCTCTGGCTCTGTAATGATAAAACAGGTCAAATCCAACCTCAACCAGCTAGACCAGTGGTGGCAAACCTTGGCGCTTCAGCGGTTTTGGAACTACAAGTCCCATAAGGCATTGCAAGGCTCTGACAGCCACAGACATAACTCCCAGAGGCAGATGCATGTTGGTATTTGTAGTTTTGGCACAGCTGGAGTGCCAAGGTTCGCCACCACTGAGCTAGACAATGACCAGCCAATGTACACTATATGGCCAAAATTCTGTGGACACCTGACCATCAGATCTATAAGAGCTGGTTGGACATCCCATTCTGAAACCATGAGCACGCCTTCCTTTGCAGCCTTCTAAGAAAACTTTCCACATGATTGGGGAGTCTTTATGGTGGAATTTATGTCCATTCAGCTACAAGAGCATTTGTGAGGTCAGGTACTGATGTGGAATGAGAAGCCCTGGCTCAGAATGGGCATTCCAATTCATCTGTAGGGTTCTGTTCAGGACACTCGAGTTCCTCCACACCACACTGGTCACACCGTGTCTTTATGGAGCTGGCTTTGTACACAGGGGGCCGTCATGGTGGAACAGAAAAGGGTCTTCACCAAGCTGTCACCACAAGGCTGGAAGAGCCCAATTGTCTACAATGTCTTTGTATTTTGTAGAGCTAACAGGACCCTTCACTGGAAGCAGCTGAGCTCCATCATTTGGAGGAGTGTCTGTAGCCGGAAGTTACTGCTTTGTTGTCCCGCCTTTCTGGGCATTAGTCTCCTGTCCCCGAGTGGGGTCTTCCCACTGTGTACATAGGGGAAAGAGGAACTAGGCTGGCGGAAGTTGGAGGAAAAGCCAGAAGGCCGTAGAGAGAAGTGACAGGTGTACGCTTTTCCCTTTCTGGGGTAAATATTTCGGCCTTGGGTCCAGGAAATGAAGAGGAAGCAGTGGCGTAACAATCGCCATAGAGACCCAGGCGGCCGCTATGGGGCCCAGGCACAGGGGGGCCCTCACTGATTCCCCCTCACAGCCAGCAGCTGCGGCATAAGAGGCCCGGCGTTCGCAGTATAGGAGGAGGCCGGGTCCGCCTAAGAGTAACCCCGCCTCCTCTTACATCACTGGCCAGCGACCTAAGAGCAGGTAGGGCCTGTCGATAGAAGAGGAGGCGGAGGACGAAAGAGGAGGCGTGTCCCGACGACCATGGAGGCAGACAGCGCTGACAGGTAAGAGGTGTGCAGCCCATCTGAGACCCTGCAGAGCCCACTATAGAGAGTCTATGGTGGGCTCTGCGGGGATCACTCTCAGGTGGGCTGTTTGGTATATCAGGTGGGCTCTGCAAGTGGCATAACTAGCAATCACAGGGCCGCATACAAAATTTTGCTATGGGGCCCTGTGATTTCTAGTTACGCCCCTGGTAGGAACTGCAAAAAAAACTTTTTGGGAAACTCTGCCACATTTTTTGGAAGCATCTAAATCTCAGTTTGCGAATATGTTCAGTAAAGTTCTGAAGTCAGGAAGTGTCTTGTTGTGTTTAGTGAAGGACCAGCATGTGAGGTGAACAATCTATTAGCACCCGGGAGACGGGAGTCGCGTGTAATGCTCACGGTTACTATGCAGGATTGGTAACATGTTCTCTTTGAGAGGTAATGGCACAACCTATACCCGGGGACTGTGAAGTTAGATGTTCTGGTCGGGAATGAATGGTGGGTTCATCAGTGGTGGTGGCTGGAAAGGTTCCCCAGGGTGCACACGCATGCCATCTGGCACCCCAGTCCTATAGGCCTCTGGTGTGAGATGAGATCCCCTATGGCCTAAACCTGGAACCTGGAGAGGACCCTCACATGTCAGGTATGCATATGATTCTTGACTAGGCCTAGGGCCGAAGAAGTGTGGAACCTGAGTAGAAGTTAATTAGAGGGATGGAGTCGAGGCCCACCATCCCTCTAAAACCATCCCTGTAGGTCCCAGCGGTGGGAACTGGCTTAACGACCCAACTTGCTTTACACATGATGTGTTTACAGAAGATCCTCTTGAAGCTTAAGAATGCCCTTCAGGAAAGAGGTAAAGAGAACACGTCACATGTGAACACGTGACATCGCATGGAGAGCTCATTACTCAGGCACCTGTGACTGCTCACATAGGGTCAGAGAATCAATTCCTTTTGGGAGGCTGCTACACAAATATTAGGGCCACCACCAACTTTGTTACTGCTAGGAGGCTCCTACTGGAGAAATTAGAGCCACCATCTATTCTGTTGCCGACATAAGAAGGTATTTTGCTGTTTTTTGGTATCTTGTGCCCCCAACCCTCTCTCCACAAGACCTGACTAATGAAAATTTTACATTGCCATGTATGTGTATCAGTCTAACCCTACAATGAGGACTTCCCCATCTCTCGCCGGGAAGCAGGAGAACCATACCTGTCAAAGTATGAACGTTCATCTCAGATTGGATGTCATAAAAGGAGACCAGGCCGTCCGCTCCGGCCCCCACCAGGACGTTGCTGTTCTTTGGGTGGTAGTTGAGCGCGGTGATGGCCTGCCTGCTGCGATGTCCGGAGAAGAGAGACGAGGCCAGAGAGCCACTCTCTGTATTCACGATCTGAAATAATCCATAGAACGGGATTATGATGTGCCGACACATCCCACCGACCTTCTGAGGTACAGAAAAGATTCACCGTGCTTACGGTTACTGGCAGAGGAGAGGTAAGCAGGTGCGGCCTCCACATTTCAATCATCAGACATTCCCTTTTAGGTCTCTGGGGTCTACTCTTTGCCTCTGCTACTCCAAACAATCATCTCTTATGCACTGGAGTCAGACTTCATTTAATCTCAACCAGGAAGCTGAAGTTTAATCCGCCTATATTTTATATTTACTGCCCCCCCTCCCCTCCCCCCATCAATATGGTAATGACATTTTTAAGGTTTGATGTGGACAATCCATTACCTGGATGGCGCCATTTCCGAATCCCACAGCCAGCTGTTTGCCATCGGGGGAGAAGCGGAGGCTGTAGATGCTGTGTATGTCTTTGCTGAGCGGGATTCGATATCTCACAAAGAGTTCCCCAAAACGCTCGTCATCGTCAGAGCCCTCCTCTACGCTCTCTCCAGAGCTCTCCAATGCCTTGGATCTAAGAATGGCTTCTTCCAACCTTCGCCGAGACATGGCGACCCGAGATTATCCCGACTGCAAAACAAACCGAGAAAAATGGACCAAACCAATCAGCATGGGGGGGGTCTGTCATAGCTTTGTGGTGGCACAAAACCCATCATGGGAAGAGAACCCGAAGCTGGAGTTCCCCCTCAATATATTGTATCCCCAAGGTCAGCAACCTCCATTGTACAAGGATTACACAGATTGGAGGCCAGTGACCAATGGCGTACTGTACAACCTGACTGGGTCCCACACCTCAGATCACCCCAATTCCTGCACCTTCACCCCTCAGATCACCCCAATTCCTGCACCTTCACCCCTCAGATCACCCCCAATTCCTGCACCTTCACCCCTCAGATCACCCTCATATCCTGCACCTTCACCCCTCGATCACCCCCAATTCCTGCACCTTCACCCCTCGATCACCCCAATTCCTGCACCTTCGCCCCTCAGATCACCCCAAATCCTGCATCTTCACCTCTCAGATCACCCCCAATTCCTGCACCTTCACCCCTCAGATCCCCCCAATTCCGGCACCTTCACCCCTCAGATCATCCCAATTCCGGCACCTTCACCCCTTCAGATCACCCCAATTCCTGCACCTTCATCCCTCAGATCACCCCAATCCCTGCACCTTCACCCCTCCGATCACCCCAATTCCCGCACCTTCATCCCTCAGATCACCCCAATCCCTGCACCTTCACCCCTCCGATCACCCCAATTCCCGCACCTTCATCCCTCAGATCACCCCAATCCCTGCACCTTCACCCCTCCGATCACCCCAATTCCCGCACCTTCATCCCTCAGATCACCCCAATTCCCGCACCTTCAGTGACCTGCAAGAAGAGGGACTTCCAGGGACTGGTCTTCACACATGGAGCCAGCGAGGAGGAAGACTGCAGGAGCATGGGGTTGAGGTAACCAGAACTTCATGTTAGATCATCCCTCAGACCAGGGGATGGGCAACTCAGTTCTCTCCATCCATCCCTCCACATCCAGCTGTGGTGGAACCACAAGTCCCATGAGACACTGCAAGACTCTGACAGCCACAGGCATGGCTCCCAGAGGCAAAGGCATGGTGGGTTTTGTAGTTTCATCACAGCCGGAGGGCCAACATTGCCTTAGACATCACAAGCAAGAATCTTTCATGGAAAGAGGGGGCGGGGAGACAATTTTTATGAGTTTACTGATTCCCGGAGTTCGGCTTTGACCCTTTCACTGCCAATGATGCCTCCCATGCTTCAAGGCATTGAAAGGGTTAGAAGAAGCTGACGGCTGCACCTGCCCTGCACATTCGTCGTCCTCTTGTGATAGCAATAAAGTTAAGTAAAAAATATTAAAATATTTTTTTGTTTAAATAGAGAAATTGCAGCTGCCGCCATTTTGTTCTCCGGGGGTCTCTGATTCCAGAAAAGATTTCATGTTTTTAGGGGCTTTAAAAATGTGTATTTAGAAAATTTCGTTTTCCCGAGACGCACCTTTCACCGCGACTCACGAATTCCGCGCTGGCATTGTCGGTCCCGTCATTCACCCGGGGGGAGATCGGCCGTCTCCTCAGCTCTCGGTGAAAGTTTTGAAGCGTGCAGAGAGGAAGGGAGGAGAGTCTGAGCCTGGAATGTGTTACATTGTATATCCCGGGCAACGGCTTCCACCGAAGACACACACACAGGAGACAAACAATGACAG